TCAGTTAACGATCTTAAACATTGACTTATTATATTCAATATAATCCAATTTCCAAAGTTTTTCTAAATGTGGAAATATTTCTATATCTTCCTCTTATATATAACAGTCCCAGCCACCTTCTTTATGAACGCATCCATTTTTTTTCTTTGTGTAAAAATATTCGCAGAAAACACTTGGAGAGAAATAGCTTAGCCTTAGATCTACTAGATCATATTTTCAATCTCGCAGAAACTGATTTAGTTCTTCGCTCAGTTCGAATAGGCGTGCAAAGACTTTGAAAAAATATCTGAATAATATAATTAGTTAATCTAGGATAGTTTAGATATTGCGTAGGTTAGAACAAGACTGTATTTACTAATTTTGTATTCATTATAGTTAACATGTCTAACTTTCAGACGCTTGAATCAGTTAATAAAATATGAAAGAAAACGTTACTGCATTTGACACATTTGAAATAAGTATGTAAAGAAATAATATATAATTTATTGATTTTTTTGCTATGATTAAACATAATAATATTTATACAATTTAATCAAAATAACACTCATTTATTTATTTAATACATAAATATACAGAAATATTTTCAGTAGTGTTCATTTTATTTACCGTATTTCAGTTTTATTTGATTTCATGTATTGTTTGCAATATATAATATGTTAAATTTGTTCATTTAGCTGCCTAAAAAAGAAATTATTCAAAATATAAAATAATTTAATATCCCATATTTCTAATATTTCGTACTTTTATTAATAAAAGATTATTAAAATATATTAAAAATTATAAAATCATAAAAGAAATTTTGTCTAGAACAAGCATTGGTCTAAGGTTGATAATTAAAATTAGTTTCTTAAAAATTAGCATATGGGTTTCTTTCAATAGTTTCTTTTCGAGTTGGTTCACAAAAACTTTCGTGAATAATACTTAATTAAATGTACAGTAATAAAAATAAATATATTTACACTTTGATCGTAAAGTTAACATTTAAATTTTAGATTCGTTTCATTGAAACTAGGTTTACCAACAGATGTATACAACGTAACTGATTTATTACTCTCATAGTAAATAATCCGTTTCAACCAAACAAAATCCTTGAGAATAAAATGTATTCCGTACAACTGCAACAATGGCTGACGCTTATAAATAATTCAGACGCATTCGTTTTTTAAGCTGAAAGGGAAAAGCTTTTTTCTCATCGCATCATTTTTTTGAGTCAAGATTTATTACCGAACGTACGATTGTCCCCTTTCTTCCAGAAACGACGACCAATAGAGAGTCGAGTTTCCAATGCATTCCCATTTATAATTCACCCTGTTGTGTCGAGGGGTTGAGATCCCTGCAGACACAGGGGTGGGTCCGTTTTTATGGCACTTACATAAACCGACCCTTCCTGCCCATTTCTCCGTTAATCCCCCATATGTCACGGACGTTGGACCAATGGGATCGTCCGGATCGTGGACCCTCTCGTAAAAAGTACAGTTTTACTACCGCACATGGCGAATGCGGAATAGGTTTAATACTTGGGACAAGAATTTAATATCCTGATACCACTAGAGAATAATATGCCGCAGACGCGAGCGTTTTGCAACAAATTTTCTGCCGCGGCCGCATTCATTAGGCTTTACGAGGAATATATAAAAATTTATTGCGCGATATGAGCATCGGAGCTGATGAACTGCGAAGCACTTAACGCACTCATATAAATTGCATTCTCTAAATACGAATTCAAAATATTGATGCTAGAAATGTTTCAGTAAGCAGATTTGAAAGGTGACCGTCTCCAGTTAACGATTCTTATTATATTATATAATATCCTGAGTGGTTCTCCTGAAAATAAATAGAACCTAAAGATGTTCCTTTTCGGCATCTACACTTTTAACAGTTCGTAGAAGATGAACGGATAACAGCAAAAAGCTGCCAATAAGCTCTTTAAAAAGGTGATTAATGATCTAATTATCTTGAGGCGTTATTGAGCAAGAAAATATGAAGACATTAAAAATGTTCATTTCTCCGTTACGTAATAAACATTACACAACTTTTGTTACATAATAAATTGCGTAACGATGCACAAAAATAAATATATAAAAACAGTTACGTAACTTTCGAGTAATTTAGAAAAAGAAACGAAAAAAAAGTAATATGTGTATATTTAGTTAAGGCACTCATATAAATTGCATTCTCTAAATACGAATTCAATCTAATTGGAAATATTATTATGTTGTTTCACTTGCAACAATAACTAACTTTATACTATATAGTAGTACATTTTTCCAATTCAGTGAGGAGTGAGCTCTTTTGAAAGATGAGACTTTCTTCTTTAATTTGAGTATTCAGTGATATAATTAGATTATGTGGTTATCGAGCAATTTTATAAAACTTGAAGCAACTCACAGATTATACCAGAAAGCTACCTGAAAAGGTGAGAATTTGACTATTCGATGACTATTTCTCGATTATGCAATAAACAATACGTAATAAATTGCTTGATGATTGCGCCCTTCTTACAAGACAATAAAAATGCAAAAATATTCCATAACTTTTGAAACATTAATAAAAAAGAAACTGGACAGCCGGAGCGCAAAATGTGTTACACACCAAGATGCGCTACGCTTGCAACTTATTATGTAATAAAATAAGAGAAAAGTTAATTATTTTTTTAGTAATTAAGGAAAATAGATTTGTTCTATCATATTACTACAATTTGAAGAAAATTTTGCTTAAGTCGCACTAAATTTCAAACACTTTCAAAATCTAAATATTGATGCTAGAAATGTTTCAGTAAGCTTATTTGAAAGGTGACCGTCTCCAGTTAACGATTCTTATTGAATTATATAATTATCCTGAGTGGTTCTCCTGAAAATAAATAGAACCTAAAGATGTTCCTTTTCGGCATCTACACTTTTAACAGTTTGTAGAGGA